ATATGTATATATATGACAATCAGGCGCTAATAACCCAGTTTGCAATAACTCTGGTCGCATCCCCTATCGAAGACAAACGCTCATCAATTCATTCAGCGCTGGCTGTTTATGCGCCTCGAATTTTCACGAGGACTCATGTGCTTAAGAGCGGGGCACGTGAGCGCACGTGCGAGCACTCGTGTCGTCTGCCACGTTAAAATTTACGGTTTTCGTCAAGCGCTCGAACGGTTGCAGCGCAAGGCCGCTATAGTATGCTCATCAATATTATTACGCCGGTGCCGCATGGCGCGGCCTACTCAGAACGGCTGCTTACATAAGTAAGGCGAAAAGTATTTCGCACACTATCTCCCTTTTTCCTTCGTTTTTGTGCCCTTTCTACTTTAAATCGTCGACTTTTCGCGACGATTTACAGAGAGGCCCATGGGACAGCGAGAGCGAGCAAGAGAGGGCACGGGAGAAAGAGGACGATGGAGGGAGAGCGAGACAGCGAGAGCAAGAGCGAGAGGAAGATAGCGCGCGAGAAAATGATTGAGGGAGAGTGAGGCCGACAGAGAGAGGCCATGAGTCTAGGGAACACCTGAGGGCAGAAGCCGAGCGACGTCGCCACGGTAACACGACAAGACTTGCCGACGCCGCCGGCAGGAAGAACACGCGGCTGTCGCGCGCAAAACCAGCCGCCTGCGCTTAATTGCACTTTAATCTATAGCGGCGTGTAGCACCTGCTGGCCCGCTATGTGATTATACCTTCAAAGCGCGCCACGGGTTTTACGCGGGTGGGTGGAGCGGGATGGGGGCGGGGGAGTGCTAAAGTGGATGCGCACGACAATCGATGTGAGCGCGGGTGCACCTCCTGTGATTACGAATACAGGACAAGCTGTCACAAATTTGCAAACGAAATGAAGCAACAGAAACGATGAGATAGAGAAGAAGAAAAACTTCCTCGCGCACGCGTTCTGCTGCGCGCGTCTATCGCGAGAGCAGCATCACTAGCGATTCCGCCGCCATTTTTATCAGACCGAGAGCGGACATTCACGCCGACATCTGCCATAGACGGGCGCAGCGTCGCCGGAGTCCCGACTCGAATGCGATGACACCGACTCGGTAGCAGTCTACTTGATCGCAGAGTATGCAGGAAGCGGTGGCGGCATGCACGCGGCGGGTGCCGAGCGCAAGAGAGCACGCGAAAACGCGCTCAGCGCGACGCACACGAAGAATGCCTCGTTATACGTATCACGAATTACTTTAGAAAATCGAAGCCTAACCGCCCGCCACGCGCACGGCCGCATTAATTTTACCCGTCCGACAATGGCCGGGAAAACCACAGGCACTTTTCAGGCCGTTTCAGTAATAAATTGATTGTAAACCAACGCAAATTGTATTTACTGCCAAAGTCTTAATGTTTATGTACTCTCTAGCGCCTAATAATTCCACATAAATGCCGCTCAAGTGCTCCTTCATAACACAGAGTCTCACCGCTCGCGTGCACTCAACTCACAAGCGATTTAACAAATTATAAAATGATGGTAGATGTACGCAAATTGCATATTTACAACCAACGTTTTAGTGTTTATCGCCTCTATTTATCGCCTAATAGTTAATCGCGAATCCCGTGTTACGAGCATGTCTATTGGATGCACTAATCCTAAAGTCTATCCCGGGGTTTTTGTCTCCGGGGGTTGACGGGGTAGGGGAAGAGGATTAATTCGCGGGTAATACCGGAAGACGAGTTGAAAGGAGAGAGGCGTCGGACGAGTCGTATAAGTACGCGTGAAATATAGATGGTTTTTGTTTGCGGTACGCAGCGAAGCGCTCTCTTACCCTGCATGCTACGAAGCTCCAATGTCGCTGAGGCATGCAAGAAAAAACGAAAACACGACAAGTTCAATAAAATGATGTGTGTGTGAGGGAAGCAAGCGCACTACACGGGGCGGCTGATAACAAGCGCGCACTTCAGAATTACAGCGTTCAGCAGAAACACGGGGTAACGAAACACCCTTTATACTAAACATTATCTGCATCGGTTACGTAGCAAGCGTGATCGGTGTTCATAGCTTGGTGACGTGGTCAGCACAATCTCTCTAGTAGTCTATAACATAACAACGCGCGCAACTAACTACGGTGGAGTGAGATCATATACCACATAATCACATGCGAAGCGCCAGTGCTAAATACAATACATACAATCAAATCCGCTCTCACCTGTCATATATATATATATATATATATATATATATAAATAAATATATATATCCGCATATATATATATATGTATATATATAATATATACATAACGTATACGTATAATGCTCGCGGTTTGAGCAGTTCGAGCGGTAAGGAGAGATAGAGTCAGAACATTCACGTGTGCATGCTTGTGAGCAACAGATTTAATGAAGGCACTATTCACACGCATATACGTGCGTGCGTACGTACGTACGTGCGTGCGTGTTCGCGTGCGTGTTCGCGAGTGTGTATGTGTACGTACGTATGAAATCGTTCCGCACTGCACCCAGCATTCTCTCTCGAACTCGTAGCAGCATTCACAGCATCATCAACACCATAATTGTCATCATTAGCGGCAGCAGCACCACCACCACAGTCGTCGCCGCCACAGCCACCGCCGTCACCGCCAGCACCACAACCACCGCCACCGCCACCGCCACCGCTACCGCCACCACTTTAACCACCACCGCCGCCACCATCACCGCCACCATCACCGCCACCATCACCGCCGCCACCACCGCGGTCACCACCACAATCCACAGCAGCAGCAGCAGCAGCAGCAGCAGCAGCAGCAGCAGCAGCAGCAGCAGCAGTAGTAGTAGTAGTAGCAGCAGCAGCAACAGCAGCAGCAGCAGCAGCAGTAGTAGTAGTAGTAGTAGTAGTAGTAGTAGTAGTAGCAGTAGTAGCAGTAGTAGTAGTAGTAGTAGTAGTAGTAGTAGTAGTAGTAGTAGTAGTAGTAGTAGATAGTAGTAGTAGCCGTGTAGCTGTGTAGTAGTAGTAGTAGTAGTAGTAGTAGTAGTAGTAGTAGATAGTAGCTGCTGTACCGTACATCCGCCTTGGCCGTAGTAGTAGTAGTAGTAGATAGTAGTAGATAGTAGTAGTAGATAGTAGTGGATAGTAGTAGTAG